AGAACTCCACTACTGGAATTGAATTCCAGTACAAAGCAGTAAACTGGCTAACTCTCGTATAGCCAATCTCCTACTATCGAATGAAGAGGCTCTAACAACCTAATCATATTCTATCTATCTCAGGTTGCAGCAGAAATCAAGAAAAGCTGATCAGACTTCAATCAATTCAATAAACATGCATCATTCGATTAAAATCAAACAATAATATCATCACAAGTCATTACAATCAAATCCCTAACACAAGGAACTAGGGTTCTTCATACCCAAGTGAGAGAAGGGTTCTACTCCATAGAGAGAGAAAGGAAAACAGAAATCAGAGTAGTCATACTCATAAAGATGAGGAAAATCTGCTCTGGGATGTCAATCTTCACTCCTGGGGACGCAATCTGGGCTTCAATGGTGAGAAAACCACTCCAAAATAGCTCCTAGGGTTTGTTCTTCGCTCTTTCCTCTCTCTAAAACTCTGTTTTTGCTCCAGAAACTCGAATACCTCTTCCTTGGCTCGAATCTGCCTCCAAAAACCCGACTCTGGGCGAATTACGGGCTTACGGCCTGCCCGTAATTTCCCCCAAAACGCACGTTTCAATTAAACTAAAGGAGGATGAGATACGCCCGTAATTTCCCAATTACCGCCAGTAATTTAGGAATTACGGTCGTAATTCTCTGGAGGCTTGCCCGTAATTTTAGCACCGAGAAGAAATTCTGGGGAAAAGGCTCGGCAATTGTTTTACGGGCATGCCCTGACCAATTACGGTCGTAATTTGGCAGGGGCTGCCCGTAATTCCTCCTGTGAATCACCATCTGACCTCCAAATGACCCAAAACTTGCGCCTATGCACCTCTTTACTTGCTAGGACCTGAAATACGACAAAACAACACAACCTAGCGTAAAATAGGCCACGGAACAATCAATTTGAGCCAAAATGGACAGGAAACCAGAGTGAAAACACGTGCAAATACAATGTTATCACTAACTCTCTTAGCCTTTCGGCTAAGGAGGACAATAGGTAAGCAATCTAGCCCTTTTAACTAATGAACTAAGGATTGCAAGACCCAACCCTCAGAAGTTAATCCGGACGGCAGAGAGACCAATCACATCTAAAACATGGTACTACTCCGCTACTTAAGGTTTTGGCCCTAGATCAACCCAAAAGGGGTTACCCAAGTGGATAGGAGATCAAGCTCCATGAGGGCCAAAGGGAGATTTCCATATTCTAGGTTATTTTGACCCAATAATGAGATAATGCAAGAAACACCCAATCATTCATGATTAATACCTCAAATATTATATAGAACACACAACCAACACAATAGAATAAAGTTCTTACATCCTAACACAAATCTAGACGGATTCACAATACCCAAGTGAGTAGGTGGGCTATTTCATAGCTAGGAGAAGGAAAACAACAAGAAGGAGAGAAAAAACCATGAAGAGATGACAATCTTCCTTCCTTGTTGCTTGAATTCCCCTTGAGAAGAACAAACTTTCAATCCTCTAGCTTAGGGCAAGCCCAAATCTCCTTCTTCCTCCTTTGAATGACACTTTCTCCCTCTATAATAGGACAGACCTTCTCTCCAGCCAGCTCTGTATACCCTTTGATCGAAAAGTGACCTGCTGGTGTTGATCATTTCTTTCTGTCTTCTTACAGTTATGAGGGGACTTATCCAGCTCCGACCTTCAATCAATTCAAACTTGGACACAAACATGGACTCTCCCGGTGGTGCCGAGCCGCCTATCACGCCGAAAAGAGGTTAGAATATGCTCGAACAAAGTCGTAGGTGCTCATTCTATTTTGATTTGAATGGGCCGGGTCTCCCCCGGTACATATGGCCGGCCCTTCGGGTGTCTCGGTGATACAAACAAAGAAAAAACGAATTCCAATCACATCCTCTATCACTTAAAGCCAATCCTTACCAAAGGAGGAAATAGAATCGAATAATCTACCTTCTTTTTTTCTTCCCGTTGATTCCCCCCGACAATCAAGCTGCACTTCCTTCTAACAATAACAAGTGGCTGAGAGTTAGCAAGTAACACTGGCCGCGGTACGACACTTGAACTCGAAGCTACAATCATATCCGATTGGATCTGATCCTATCCGACCCAACTCTAAAACTTAGAATGGCCGGCGTGTTTTGGATAGTAGAACGGGAAGAGGGGGAGTTGTGCCTATTCGCTCTCCGAGCACGAGCATCTCTTTCTAGAAAGCGGTTTGAACTCCTCTTTGTTGCTTTTATCTCCTGCATCTCTCGGAGAATTTCACTTGTGAATGAATTTCCCCAAGCCTAATACTTTTTTAATCACTAGCATAGAATCTCCATAAACATTAATTTCGCAAGTACCCTGTGACAATACGATTTCTAGACCCAAGATACATGTCGCGTCTGAGAAATCTGGAGGAGCGCCATTCAACGCTAATAGAGTTAAAGAATTCCATTGATTCGGGTCCAATTGTACACATTTTACCCCTCATTTCTTGATATTTTGACTTTGCATTTCATCGTCTCTCGACCTATTTTATGCTAGGTTGTGCTTGTTTTGTTACATTTTAGGTCCTAGCACGTGTGGAAAGGCCGAGGATGAGTTTCGGGACGATTGGAGGTCGAAAGCGCGAAAAAGTGAAGAAAAGTGGAGGGGGGGGGGGGGGAGGTAGTTTATCTATTATGCTTGTGTGTGTGATTGAGTATGCCCAAATTTTGATGTATGCCCAAATTTTAAAAATTTGAGGGCTCCAAGCATTGCATGATCATTGTGGCCGGTTTGTTGGATTATCTCATGTTTATTGGCTTCGACCTCGGATTGATTTTTGTGATCAAGTGCATATTATGATGATTGAGAATTGCATTAGGATAGTGCAAATGTTTAGTTCTCATGTATGCGGAAATGAATGGATGTCTTGACTTGATTACTCGTTGATTACAATTGCCATGCATCAAAATTTGTGAAATTGAAATAGATTATTGGGAGGATAGGTAGCCATGTGAGTTTTGTGCCTATCGTCTTTTGCATGTGTGATAGATCCATCTCGCCATGGTGTGTAACATTCACCGTTGTCACTAGTGAGTATGATGGAGGCATATGATTAGTCCACGCCCAAAAGTTGATTGTCCCGAAACATTTTATCCCCTAGTCAACCCCTTTGAGTCGTGTGACTTTGGGGGTCGGTCTCATGTTAGGGGCTTGTTGCTTGTGAGCTTAATGGTGATTGATAGAACGACCCCTCATCCTTTCT